TCCTGTACGGCCACAGTCGCTACCACACGGTGCGCGAGCTGTCGGCGAGCGAGTGCGCCTGCGTGTGACCCTACCTCACCGGGCCCGGCCAGGCGGCAGCCACGCCCCCCGCCCCGACGGCGCGCACCGTCCTGCCGGGCCTGCCCCGTCACAGACTGCCCATGCGCAGAAGATCCCGTCGAGAACACAGGACTCTCGCGATAACTGTATCGATATAAAGTGTGGGAAATCGCGCCCGGCTCGTAGTTTGCGCTGATGGTGGGTGGGCAGGACGCTGTCAGGGAGCAGGAAGCTCCCCTGTGCAGAGGCCGTTTGCGGGGTACAGAAAGGAACGCGGGTGGGCGTGGGCTTGTGCGCCGGGGCCCTCCCACCTGCCTGCTGGCCCCTTTGCACCTCCCTGGGGCATCCCCACCACGAGTAAGAACTTGGGTGCACCTGCTTCGGGGCGCGTTGGGATTGGTGGAGGATGGCGAAGCCACAGCGACGACGAGACTGAGGTCCAGGTGGCCCCAAGCCCCCTCTGCGAACGGCCAGTCCGCTGACTAAAAATACCCGCGGCTTCCCACCTCCTGGCGGGGACAGGTCTGGGTTGAGTGCCAACGCTGTCCAGCCCGAAGCCGGCGCCTGCTGGGGCAGCACCGAGTCCCCTGGGTCCTGGGCCCATAAACGCCCTGGCCGGGCCTCAAGGGGGGATTTACGATGAGTCCCTGCAGAGGATGGAAAAAACCCGGCGCGGTGTTTAGATTTGCCCGCGGTGTCACCTTGATGCTTGGCAGGCCCCCGACGAGCGGGGTGTTTGGTTCCCAGACCGCGGGGAGAGTCTGCGGGTCCCACGGTCGGAGGAGAGCTGGGGAGGGGGCGCTGCAAGCCCAGGGCTGGCACCCACAGGCCAGAGGGGACCCTCCCCTCCTGCCCCTAAAACTGGGGTGTCTTGAGAGTACCGCTTTCCCCTCCCCCAGACAGCTTCTCTGTAGGCGAAGTCCCCTCTCCCCTTCCTTCCTCCACACCCCAGACTGGGGGCTCTCAAGGGCGGGGTTCACTCTTCTTTCCCCAGATGGGCGTCCTAGGGCATAGTCCTTCCCCGCCTCCCTCATCCCTAGGCTGGGCCCCTTCCCCTCTACCGGCACAGTCCAGCACAGTCCGGCTCAGGACCACCCTCTAACCACCGAGTCCTCCCCCACACTCAGTCCCCCTCCCATCGGGAAGGGTCACTCAGCCCCGGGAACATCCCCAGCTCCCTGCTCCCCGGAACCAGCTGCAGCTAACAGGCAGGACTTCCTGGGGCCCTGCAAGCGGGGCTCCTCGGCAGGCACCAGCCTGTGGGTGGTCTCCCTGAAAGGCAGTTTCAGGCCGGGGCTGGCTGGGGTCCCCGCCTGCTGCCCCAGTTGTCTCCCTCTGAGGTTTGAGGTGGCAGAGGTTTCTCCACGGTTTGGGCTGACTCAGCCCTGCCGTGGGGGGGAAGCTGGGGTCCCCAGGCGCTGCGGGAGCGGAAGTGGTGGTTGTTCAGAGCCTCAGTTTCCCCATCCCTAACGGCTCAGGAGCGCAGTTGTCCGGGACACTGGCCTTCCAGCCCACGTCGGTGGCCCCCGGAGTACCCCTCGTGCGTCTGCACGTGAGCCTGCATGCACTGTCCCCAGCCCCCTCCCCCCCAGACCTCTGCCTCCTGTCTCCCACTCGACGCCGACATCCCCACCACAGGGCACTGGCCCAGCCCGCCGGAGAATTGAAGCGTAAACAGCAGTCCCCACAGGCCCCCGGGACTGGGGTTCCTAGCAGTGCACGCCACCCGAGGGAGCTGGGGTCACAGCCACGTGCACACACAGGACCCTCGGCCCGGGCTCTCACACGCAGGATGGCACTCAGAGAGGGCCTGTCACTGTCCCACACTCAGACACACTCCTGGGGCCACACGCTTGGTCTCGGCTCACATAGCCACTGCGCACAGACACACGTGGCCACACGGCATGGCGCCGCAGGTGCACACACTGTCACGACCCCATCGTCACTTCCAGTGATGGGTGTGTGCCAGCCATGCACACTGACCCCCAGCCCTGCACACACCCAACTGACATGACACAGCTTCACGTGCCCTCCCTCTTGGGGGTGGGAGACACCTCTGCTTACACCCCCAGTCCACCCTGCCCTGTGCGCTGGGCACAGGAGGGCACCTTGTCCCAGCCCAGACAGCCTGGTCCCCACTGTCTGCCCTGCCCCTTACATTTCACCCGGGAGCCCACCCCCAGGGGGCTGGCTGGAGGAGAGACACCCCACACGCCTCTGAACACACGCCCAAGGGCCCTGACCTCGAGGGCCACAGAAAGGTCTAGAATGATTTTCCTACCTCTCGTTTGGGCTGATCACTTGTGGGGGCCGCCCTGGGATTTATGGGGTGCATAGCATTCCCCTGGCCACCACCCGCTCAGAGACGTCAGCCACTGCCCCCCCTGTGACAACTGGAGGTCTCCGAACACTGCCGCGTGTCCCCTGAGGGCAGACTGCCCGGGGTGAGAACCTCTATTCTAGAGTGGGGACGAGGGCTTTCCTCGTGCCGGGCCCACCTGGAGAACGGTGACCACGTGGTCTGTGCCCCCCACGGGCGGCTGACAGCCTAAGAATCACAGCCAACCCAGAACCGTCCCGGTGGTTGGGACCTCGAAGGAGCCAGGTCCCCAGGGCTGAGTAGGAGAGGTTCCAGCAGTCAAGGTGTCTGGCAGGTGAGACTCTTTTTTTCTTTTTTGAGAGGTTTTTGCTATAGGGCACGTGCGCTCACCAGACAGACAGAGACATAGACAGAAAGCGAGAAATCACCCCCCGGGGGGATGGCCACGCTGCCATCCCTTCTCTTCCATTCTCCTCTCAGGACCTTGGGCATGCACGCACACGCGCCTGGCGTGAGTTCTAAGCCACCGGGTCCAGGACACAAACTGTGGTCAACTACGTGGGAATCCAACGACATAGCCATTACGCTAACTGCTGGTTCCCAACAGGTGAGACTCTTCAAATCCAAGCTTCCTGGCATCTAAGGTCCCCAGCAGCTGAGGTCAAGTAGGTGAGGTCCCCAGGAGGTGAGGTCCCCAGACAGGTGAAGTCCCTAGACAGGTGAGGTCTTCAGCAGGTGAGGTCTTCAGCAGGTGAGGTCTTCAGATAGGTTAGGTCCCCAGTAGGTGAGGTCCCCAGACAGGTGAGATCCCCAGCAGGTAAGGTCCCCAGGGGGTGAGGTCCCCAGTGGGTGAGGTTCCCAGGGGGTGAGGTCCCCAGACAGGTGAGATCCCCAGCAGGTGAGGTCTTTAGGAGGGGAGGTCTTTAGCAGGTGAGATCTCCAGACAGATGAGGTCCCCAGGAGGTGAGGTCCCCAGGCATCTGAGGTCCCCTGCAGGGGAGGTCCCCAGTAGGGGAGGTCCCCAGGAGGGGATGTCCCCAGACAGGCGAGATCCCCAGGAGGTGAGGTCCCCAGGAGGGGAGGTCCCCAGTAGGTGAAGTCCCCAGCAGGTGAGATCCCCAGCGGGTGAGGTCCCCAGCGGGTGAGGTCCCCAGCGAGTGAGGTCCCCAGTAGGTGAAGTCCCCAGACAGGCGAGATCCCCAGGAGGTGAGGTCCCCAGGAGGGGAGGTCCCCAGTAGGTGAAGTCCCCAGCAGGTGAGATCCCCAGCGGGTGAGGTCCCCAGCAGGTGAGGTCCCCAGCAGGTGAGGCACCCCCAGCACCGGCCCAGGCCTGCGGCCTCACGTGAACCAGGAAGCTATGCTGGGCACGGTCAGGTAGCGGGTCTCCTCCTGCAGCCGCCAGCAGGCCTTGCAGAAAGCCAGAGCCCAGCTGAAGGTGCGCGGCCGCAGCGTGTCCCGCCAGCGGAAGTAGCTCAGGTAGCGGCCGGGGGCCGCGCCCGGGGCCGGCCGGGCCTGCG